AATAATCATCTTTTTACCACAGATAAGATCCCTTCCAAGGTTCTTTGTCTCTTTAATTCACTTATCCATTTATATATGTAAAAAATCACGCACTTGCAGAATTAAATAGAGTAGGCAGAATTTTTTTAAAGACCAAACCATGTGTAACACCTTTTCTTGTCCCAGAAAGGATTAAGGCAGTTTATAAGGAGACATAAAATACACTGAGGTAACAGTAGATACTGAGGTAACAGTAGATGAGAATGAGATAAAGGGAGAACGCGTGAGATCGTCTACATGGAGGTAGGAATGAGACAGACAGAAAAGCACTTTCCATAAAGTCTCCAAGTTGCTATGGGTGGACCACAGATCTGTCTCCAGGTTTTCATTTCAATTACCTTCAGATTCACACATCGGACCATGGGATGACAACTAACTCCCAGTTTGCATTCATTACTCCTTGAAAGCAATTTTAACTACTCGCAGATTCACCGTCTCCCAAAGGTGAAAACAAACTAATTCCTCAGGGAAGGCATACCTCCTTCTAAGACAGAAAATAACTTCTCCACGGGCCCTCTTAGCCAGGGCGTGTGATGGACTGAACCACGTCCTCAACGGCAGGCTCACAAGCACAGGGTGGAATTTCACAGCACTGTTTCTGACAGCGTCCCAGTGATGGCTGAGGGCATCATGTTCTTGATTCCAAGATGCATGATGATATCAGTGATCTGCTGTATAAAGGGATATGGGCTCTGAGCACTGTTCTCTGAGTGCAGAGTCATGGACAGAGCTGCTTGAAATATGGTGATCCAAAAAAAAAAAAAAGGGTGCTCAATGCAAATGGCATACGGATCACTTGGTGTCCAGCTCTCCCCAGCCTGCGCTCACACCAAGTACTCAGCTGTCAGGAATCAGGTTTTCCTCTGCATAATTTGGCACGTAGCATTAACGATATCATACTCCTAATGTGTATGTGTGTTTATAATTTTAAATGCTCCCAGAGCAGGATCCACATCTATCTCAACATTCTTTTTATTCCCAAGCTATAGGCTGAATGTTCACACCCCACCCAAATTCATGTGTTGAAATCCTGACCCACAAGGTGATGGAATGAAGACATGGAGCCTTTGTGATGTGATTATGTCAGGAGGGCGGAGGCTTCATGATGGAATTAGCACCCTTATAAAAGAGACTCCAGAAAGATCCCTGGCCCTTCCTCCATGCAAGGGCACAGCGAGAAGATGGCCATTCATGAACCAAGAAGACAGCGCTCGCCAGACACCGAATCTGCAAGCACCTTGATCTCGGACTTTCCAACCTCCAGAACTGTGAGAAATAAATGTTTGTTGTTTAAGGCCCCAGTCCATGGCAATTTGTTAGAGCAGCCCGAATGGACTAAAAAACCAGGGTTTTATTCCATTGCCCTGTACCCACTAAGGACTCATAAACAAGTGAAGCACTTATTAAGGATAACGACTGTGACATCTGACTACTGCTGTCAACAAAGAACTAAATTAAGATGTGAGAGGAGACTGCATCTCACCAAGGACCTCTCCCTGGTTCCCGTCTGTAGTCTGCATCGCTGTAACACTTTGGCTTCCTACCAGTTAGACCCCCAGATGTTTGCACTTCCCCTTTCTGCTGTTGCATTTTCATTGTGGGAATTCAAGTTCCTCGACTTCAAGAAACAGGAGGAAGAGGTGATTTCTGATGACTACAATGACGTCCCAGAATAGTCAAGGGTAAGACTGAACCTCCTCTAATCCTCGAACTCCATCGGAGAACATCTTGCCTGAAGTGCTCGACTGAGGATCTCCTGACCACAGGACCACTCGATCTCAGTTCTCTTGTTCATGAAGTTAGGACTTCTGTACGGTTCAAAAATGACCCGGGAACAGGACTTGGATGAAGAGATGAATTGAGAGAAGTTCCACGTAAGGCTTTATTGAGTAATATTTTGTATAATTAGATTATAATTGTGTAATATTGAAAAAATGGTAAGTGCAAGCATTTGTACTCCAATCACATGTTACCAATCAGGTATTCAGACATGGCACTGGGATGCAGGGGACAATTTTGTCACCCAGTTATGAACTTTTTATTGACAATCGGGTTTTGAAGTCTAAGAGGGGATCAAACAGAACTCCTCCTGTCTTAGTTAGGGTAGCACTGACTAGGTGTCTTAAACAGCAGGCATCCATTTGTCACAGTGGAGGCCAGCAAGTCAAAGATAAAGGTACAGGGGGATTTGATTATTGGGGAGGGCTCTCCTCCTGGCTGGCAGATGGCCCCTTCTCACTGTCTCCTCACATGGTGGAGTTCTCTCTCTCTCTTTCTCTCTCTCTCTCTCTCCCTCTCTCATCTCTCATCTCTCATCTCTTCTTATAAGGGCACCAGTCATTAGGGCCCCACCTTCATGACCTAGTTCTCTCCCAAAGGCCCCACCTCCAAATGCCATCACACTGAAAGTTAGGGCTTCAATATATACCTTTTGGGGGGGAGACACAATTCAGCCCATAGCACATCCTGAGCAAGGTGACCTCAGCAGGGCACTGGAGAGCATGTCCTGACCAAGACAGGGAAATGGCCACAGCAGGACACCTGACAGAGGGCCAGGCAAGCTCTGGCTCTGAACCATCCCGTCAGCATGGCATTTTCTGAAAGGAAGCATCACTGGAGGTCTTCGGTCAGGGTGATCTGAAAAAACTTCCTTTCTACCTAAGGTTAGGCAGGGCCTCCTTCGACATCCCCAGACTTGTGCACTCGATTCCTAAGTCCCCTCCCTGGGGGAGAGACGATTGGCGACTCTATCCTTTCATTGGCCACCCTTGCCAAACCTTTCCCTGAAGCCAACCTGGTTTTTCAGGCAAGCACTTGGGGAGGTGACAGCGGTCATGCCCCAGAGCCAAGAGGTAAAGTATGATGCTGTGTTTCATCAGTTCCAATCCAACCAAAATTTTTATTCCACACAGGCAATCTGGTACCCAGAAACTTCAGGCTTAAAGGTGGTAACAATCGAAATTCTCCCCGAGTTTCCACATGGAACAACTAAAGAAGTGGGGCAACGTTTCCATTAGATTGAGAAACCGTGTTCCATGCTCCTTTCTGAAATTTTCAGGATGTTGTTGTAAATCCCATTCAGACTCCAAGCCAAGGGAAAAGCCTTCTCTCATCGTTCCGGACAGCGCTACTTGTTAGAACTTTCCTCTCTTTTGAATGGAAACCTGTCTCTTCATAAACTCTACCCAGTTGCACATTTCTACCCTCTGAGGCCACAAAAGCTATTTCTGCTCTTTCCAACGTGGCAGCCCTTGAAGGAGAACTTTCATCTCCTATAAGTCTCTTCTTCCCAAGAGATGATGCCCTTCCAGGTCCTCTCGGTCCCCAGAGACCAGTCCCCAAGTCCCCTCCAGCCTGTCTCCTCCGGACCCTCTTCTGTCACCTACAAGTTCTCATTCAGCAGAGGAGCTGTAATACCATAGCCCAGATTCCTGCTGGGCTGAAACACTTTCCAAAAATTCTGAAAATTTGTTATGGTTGTGGCTGTTAAGCCCACAAAACCCAGATCCCAATCTCTCACTGAACAGCCCAAGAACATGTTCAATTCATCCTCCAGCTGGACATCATTCCTGGGATGAATCATGAGTTTCCCTCCTTGTTGCTGTTGGCCACCCTTCAGGTCTATGGTTGGTGGGACAGACGCCACCCCTGAGGATGCCCTTTTCCCTGAGTGTGGAAACCTGAGAGCGAAGGCAGCATTGGATCCCGTCGCTAGGCACAAGTGACTATTTTCACTTCACAGAAAGTGAGACCAGACCAGGGAGGCCTCAATCATCTGCCTCAGGATTTCTAGCAGAGGGTCATCTGCAGGGGCTGAACCTCCGGATCCCCTCCCTAGCGTGAACCCGAGGACTCCGCCCTCAGCATGCCCAGTCAGCTCTGCCTGGCCCGCAGCCTTGCTCCGACCCGCCCCCCGCCCGCCGCACCCACACTTCCACTGTGTGCGTGTGTTCTGGATTAGCACTGCACTTGCTGGGTCAACATGCAGTCCCTGCCACAGTCGCTATTGCAGGGCTCCCTCTGGGTGTCCCTGCCTCTTCCCTTAGACTGGGAGTTCCTTATGGGAAGCCCCTGGGTCTTGTGTAGCTGTGTCTTCCATCTTAGCACGGAACCTGGCACAAAGTAGGCGCTCACGTAAGACAAGCGAGGTTGAAATAAACTGATCTGTTGACTGACTTTGTCAAGCCTTACGTACATCCCTCCGTTGAGAAAGGTGGGCATTGAGCATTCCTCCCTGTGGGTGGGAGTCAGGAGAGGCCAGCACAGCCTCTATGCCTTCGCTTTCTCTGTCATGGGGGGATGACCTACAGGCAGTCAACTGGGCTGCTCAGAGCAGGGAGCCTTCCATCTGACCCCTTCCTCGTCCAAGCTCCGTGCCTCCCAGCCTAGGGTATGTGCTCCGCGCTCCAGCCCATCACCACCAGCCTGCCCTGCAAACAGAAACTGGGGAGAAGAGCCCAACTGAATTGGGGTAAACCCATCCCACCCCCAGTAATAACAAAAGGGCAGCAGGCTGACCATGACCCCGATTAAACTTGGCAGCAAAGTCTCTCAGGACTATTTTCATCACACCCCTTGACACGCCCCCCCCCCCCTTGCTCTGTGCAAACCACAGTACGGAGTTCCAGGGAGGCCCAGGACGATGCAGTGTCACACAACGATTCGGGCAAAGTCAGAAGCCACTCGGAGAAATTAGGTCTCTGCGCCTGGGCTGAGGGATGTCCCAAGCACCCCATAGCCCCTGCCAATGACTCATCGCAGATGAAGCGGGCGATGCTGCTAACAGGGGTGCCGGTCAGAAAGCTCCCTCCTTCACAGCTCCCATGGTGGGAAGGGCAGTGTTGAGGCTCACGACCGTGCAACAGGGCAGAGGCCTCAGCTCTCCAGTCCCTCCCTGCTCTCACTTCCTGTGTAGCTCCTTCCGCATCCTCAAGGGCCAGGACAGAAGACGGTGCTCTTACCTGCTAAGATGAAGATGCCCACGATAATCAGGGAGACCAGCAGGTAGAGCCCAAGGACAGCATGCTTCAGGGCTGACAGCGAGCCCAGCTGGGCGCAGCAGCCGCCTGCCCGTCGTCTCTGGCACGGACCTAAATAATAAGGGCAAGAAGAGGAGGAAAAGGAGAAAGACACTTGAAAACCTCACAAGCTTTTTCTGTCTTTGGTCTCTTCTCTCCCCAATGCACACAGATGTTCACGTGGAGCAAGCCTCTCGCACATCTGTAAAGCAGCTGTAATGATGCGGAGCTTTTTAGAACCGCAACAAGCTTTTCCTCCCATCCTCTGCCCTCTTTGAAACATTTTTTTAAATGACTTTTTATCACAGTTTACATTCAATATTATTTTGTATTAGTCTTGGGGTTGTGCAGCATAGGGGTTAGACGATCGTACACTTCACAGGGTTGTTCCTCCTGATATTTCTAGGACCGCTTGGCCCCATACATAGTTATTACAATATTATGGACTATATTCCCTAGGCTATACTTTATATCCCCGTGACTATTTTGTAACTACTAATTTGTACTTCTTAATCCCTTTACCTTTTCACCCGGTCCCTCAAGCCCTCTCTGGCATCCATCAGTCTGCTCTCTGAATCTATGAGTCTGTTTCAATTTGGTCTGTTCCCTTATTTTGTTCTTCAGATTCCACATATAAGTGAGATCATATGGCCACCCTTCGCGCTCTTGAATGAGCCAGACAGGCATATTTACCGCTCACGTGCCCACAAAAATCCACCCCCCTGGAGTTAGTCCAAGCAGCAGAGTAAACACAGATAGCCTGGAATATGTGTTCTTTATAAAAACACCCTTGTCCCATGTGATCTGGAGAATATGGGGAGAATTTAAACAGGGGCTACAAACCCCAGGACGGGATGGAAATGAGCCAGGGGGCCGGGGGGCCCCGGGGGCCCAGCCACTCATGCCCTGTCTGGGAGAGCCCGCGGTGTGGGAGGGAGGGCCGGGTGTTGCCAGACCCAAAAGTTTTAAGACAAGCCAGAAGGGATTTTGAGAAATCTCCCTGTTTTTAAGTGTTAACAACTAATTTAAAACAACAACAAACAAGACAAAAAGCAAAAACCGCTAGGGAGTATAAGCCAAACACGTTTGCGTGCTGGATCTGACCACTGGTTTGCAACCTTGGGTTTACATTTTCGGGAAAACAGAGTTACTTCATTCTGTGAAACTACACAAGGCTCACCAGCTCCTGGCCCAAATGGAACAGCAAAATATCAGAGCTCTACTGGATCTTATGAATAAATAGTTCAGTCCGACCCCTTAAATACAGGTGTCAAATGTTAGTGGCAAAACGGTGGAGAGCCAGGTGCTTGGCTGCTGGTCACCTTCAGCCTGCCTCCTCCTTTGAGTCACCCTTCCCTGACGGCCATGCGGGCACCAGGGAGCTCACTGACCTTCGCCTGCTACGTCAAATGACAGCGAAAAGGAAGGGACGCTCACGCACCTTGATCCCCAGCAGGGCCCGTAAGAAGCATTGGAGGGCATTTTTCAAGTAGGCACGCCCCCTTTAAGTTTATGTTCGCAGGTGGCAATGGGAGTGTGTTGCACCTGAACAGTGTGGGAGCAGAGAAAGGTCGACAACAAGATGTTGAAATAACTGATATTGTGAAAATGCTTTTAAAGACGGTGCAGTGTTTACAATTCCTTGGTAACTCTGGGTGTGCGAGGGCGGTACTTGGGGGGCTACTTATTACCTCTCAGGTATCACTCGCACCTCTGTGGCCCTCAGGAGGTGTGGTGTCCGTGAGGGAAATGACGGTGACTATGCTGGAGCCCTGGCTCCCCAGAGATATAGTTACGTGAGGAACATTTTCTCACTCACTGACCCCATTTTATTGAAAATACTGCTGTTAAAACAGCTAACTAGGAAACTATTACATAATATTTTCATAAAACGTTGGGTACAATTTGGAGCAAGTTGTCAAGAAATACAAATCCTCATTGACCCTGAAACATTGGCAATTTTTGAAGAGTTTACCTGATTTTCCACTAAGACTCACCCAAAGTACATCTTTCTAACTCACCCTAAATCTTTGCCAGAGTTTTTCATTCTTTGCCACACACTAAGATCTATACCCTGTTTCGCTCCTAAATATGTAGGCTTCTTGTATCATTTCATCTTTTTTTAATTCTTGTGAGAGCTACTGGTTGTCTGGTTGCAACGTATTAGAGTCTGTTTCCTTTGAGAGTCAGAGTGATAGGCATAGCATTGAGTAGGTACAAATAGGAGGTACCACGGTCGTGCTCCTGGTGCTTGCTCCGGCCGTCCTGCTGAGCCCAGCTTCCTCTCTAGACCAGAGGTGAGAATGGTGAGAATGATGGCAGACCAGCTGCTGGGATGGGTCAGGAGATACCCATGCGGAATGCTCTTATTCATAGAGTTATCCCAGCCAGTCTCTGCTCTCCACTCATGGGCTTTCTTTGACCTTCTTACTTCCTTTGAAGGTTTAATTAAGTTAAACTATGTTTGTTAACTGTTTCAGTTCCAGTGAAATCTTGTTTTACTGTTCATTATAACAAGAAATTATTCTCTCTCACTCTCAAAAAAAGTTGATTTTTTTTTTGCATGCAACATTTTTATTGAGGCACAAGGCACATAATTTGCCTGAATTTAAGGAAATCGGTTGAGTAAGCTGAACATTAATACAGTTAAGGGTTAAGTGCAAACAATATATATGCACAGCCTGATGACATCACAATTTATAAAGCAGCAGATTACTGCTAATTGTCATTTAGCTTGAAATTTTTCACTTGTGGGGGAAAATGAAAAAGTAAGTCCTTCTTCATTCCTCTTTAGGAATGAAAACATTTTCCTAAACCAATCAGTCACAAGGGTAAGGGCTTTTTTTTTTTCTTTAATCCCACTCATTAGAACACCATCCTTTTATTTAAAGTCTGTACTGACTTTGACCTTGGCTGGTGTGGCTCAGTTGGTTGAAGTGTCATCATCCCATAAACTGAAAGATCGTGGGCTCGATTCCCAGTCAGGACACATGCCTAGGCTGCATGTTAGGGCCCGGTCAGGGTGCTTCCAAGAGACAACCAATTGATGTCTCTCTCTCACATCGATGTTTCTCTCCCTCTCTCTCTCCCCCTTCCTCTCTCTCTAAAATTAATAGGCATGTCCTCGGCAGAGGATAAAAAATGAAGTCTATGCTGACTTTCAATCTTGGCAGAAGAGGAAGAGGAAAACCACACAGCAGACAACACTGCTAACTTGAATCTTGCCTTTGCCCTTTGCATGTATGTTGCTAGTCACTGTAAGAGGCATTGCAACAATAAAGCTCTATTTTTCCTCCATCAAAAAGGAGCACCTCCCTTCCCTTTTACCTGAGGCTTCAATTTAATAGAAAGAACCCTCTGGTGAGAGGTCCCTTCATCAAGTAACACACACGACATAGACCTTCCTCTGAGAGAGCTTGATTTTTTGGCAAGGCTTGATTACTTTGTACATGCGACAAAATCTATTTTAAATAGAACATAATAAGGGTTTCGAATAGAGATTTTCCACAAATTGTTAGACAAGCAGAACGTGAATGGTTCTGGCAAGATGGCTAGAGAATATGACTGTAAGGGAAAGAAGACAATTTAGGGGAAAGACAAGTTATTAAGTCTGCTCGAAACATTTATTGACTTTTTAATTTAACATAGAAGTAGCAGGTTAGCTGGGTAAACCATTCAAATTATTTAAACTGAGTGGAAGATTGAAAACACTCTAAAATGATATGATCAGTAACACCAGGGCGTAAGTAGGCTCACTTAACTTGTTTTTTAAAAAAGTAAAAGAAATGAGCTATCAAGCCATGAAAAAAATAAAACAAAACATGGAAGAACCTTAAATGCATGGTACTAAGTAAAAGAAGGCAATCTGAAAAGGCTATATACTGTATGAGTCCAACTATATGACATTCTGGAAAAGACAAGACTATGAAGACAATAATAGGATAGTGGTTGCCAGGGGGTGGGAGGGGAGAGGGATGAATAGGTGGAGCACAGAGGAGTTTTTGCACAGTGAAACTGTTCTGTATGACACTATTAATGCACACATGCCATTATACATAATAAATTCTGTGGATTTGTCCAAATCCACAGAATGTACAACACCATGAGTGAATCCTTATGTAAATTATGGGCTTTGGATGATAATGATGTATCCATGTAGGTTCATAAATTGTAACAATATACCACTGTGATGCAAGATGCTGATAGTGGGAGAGGCTGTGCATGGCAGGGTGCATAGAGTATACGGGGACTTTCTGCACATTCCACTAATTTTGATGTAAACCTAAAATTGCTTTAAAAATAAAGTATATTTTTTTTAAAAAGTAAGAGGTTTTGACCTACGAATTGTTTGGGTAATACTTCAACAAGCATTTCCTGAGCACCCACCATAGAGCACCCTCCTGCGGAAGACAGCCTTCAGGATGGCCCCAGCTGCCCTCTGCCCTCTGCGCGGTCTCCTTCTGCGCTGCACCCGGAGTGGTTTGTGTGACTAAGGGACTATGGCAGAAGCGACGGCGTGTCGCTTCTGAGATTAGACAAAAGACACTGCGTCTTCCTTTTTGCTCACTCTTTCTCTTTCTTGGAACAATTCCTTGGAGGGAAGCCAGCTGCTGTGTTGATGAACGCCCTGTGGGGAGGCTACATGATAAGGAGCTGAGGCCTTCAGCCGACAGCCACGAGAGTGAGCCTGGAAGCAGATGCTCCAGCCAAATGAAGCTTTCAGACGAATACACCCTGGCTGAGATCTTGACAGCAGTCTCATGAGAGATGCTGAGCCACAATCACCTAGCGAAGCTGCCTAGACTCCTGTCAGACTGTATTATATATAAATACATTTCTGAGCAAAATTTTGATGTGAAAAAATAAACAAAATCTTGGCTTTCCTTGCACATCTGTGGCTTCCTCAGAAACCAGGTGAGACTAAATTTTTGTTGTTGTAAGCTGCTTAGTTTTGGGGTAATTTGTTACACGGCAATTGATGACTAATACACTTATGTTGAACAATAGGAAATTCAAAGATAACACACCAAATGCAGGAAAGGCTTTGTCAGCGCTGTTCACGTGCAACTTCC